TCTAATGACTGAAAAGAGGTACTGATTAAAAATATTCCATACACAACTAAATATTTTCCAACTATAGCAGAACAGTTATGAATGGCAAGGTGTAAGTACGTAAAACTTTACTGAACAGACTGTGCCAGCCAAACGGAATCTCTTGTAATCTGACAGTAGTCTGCAAAGCAAAATATGCTATTATGACTTCATGTTTAAACCAACCATTCATTAAAAACAGTTTATCCATTCATCTTAACCATCTATTTTCTGTAACATGGACAACACCACTTGTGTTCTACAACATAAAGAAATTAAAGGTTTGAAAGTTTGCAGAAACTCGGGGCTAAATGAAGAAATTAATTGCAAATGCAATGACATGAAGTCCTACACCCAGGGCAGAACACTGTTTCCTGAAAAACACTGCAAGACAAAGAAAGAGCAGTCACAAATTACTCCCCCACCCCAATCATACAGAGTGTCAGAAGTACAGTAAATTGTGCCCAATTCACTTATAAGTTCCCACTATGATTTAATTAGCCATTGCTCCAATTCTCCACCACCATTCCCCTTCCTCCTATTTCCAACCCATAATAATTGGTCTCTATTGGATAATTCCCCATTATTTTCATTCCCCTGGGAATGGTGAACTAGCCAGAGTTTACTATAGATAAGGACCTAGATTTGGCCAAACTGAAGATACTGCCCTCCCATGACAAGATGTAAAAGATTACTGCAAATATTTTATTCCCCTGACCACCGATAACTAGTAATGTCAACCCATCTCCCCATTTCTCAGAGCTAATACCAATATTCAATCAGCAGAAACTCACCCCCCCCTTCAACAACTCTCCAAGTTATCTTCATAACTCTCAGAATTGCCACATAAGTACTTTAGATAGAAAAATGGAGGTCATTCCCCAAACTAGATAAACTGCTTTTTCCACATGGTTAAGTTTTCTGTAGAAGTGGGTGGGTTGCTGAGGCCTGCTTACCTTTTGTTTTCTTTCTTTCTTTCTTAATGAATGTGACATAGCTGTATATTTTACCACCGTTTTGTGTGAAATGCAAGAGTAAATTAATGTAAGTAGCTGAAAGTACATCTGAAAGGCAAGAGTATATCCTGAGCCAGGTAAAAGACAATATATGAGAAACCGAAGCCAAAAGGCAAAATTACTTAAATATTCAGATTTGACTACTGTAAGCCTGGGGTGTCAACCATATGGCCTGTGGGCCAGATCCAATCCATAGAGCTGCTTCATCCAGCCTGCCAAGCTACTGCAAACAGTGGAGTGGGGGGAGGAAAGAGAGTTAGTCAGCCTCAGAATCCAAGGTCCCTGGTGGACATGCCCACTGGCAGCAAAAGAGTGAGTGAGGACTATACTAACATAGTCTGCCTTCCTTAACCAGCAGGCACCACTCCTGACACTGCTTCCCCTACAGCTGCTGATCCTGCTGCAGCCACTGCCACTGCCACCACCACCACCCCCATACCACACACCTAGATCCAGCCTAGGGCACAGGGTCAGTTTTACACCCATGTTAGCCATTAGTAATGCTAGCGGACTTCAGTGCACTTTTAGTTCTGACAATATTCCTTTAACATGAATATACCAAAGTGCAATGAAGTAAAATGATAAATATTAATAAATAAGGCGTTCTGAGAGAAAGACATCAGGGTAGGCAACTTTAATGAAAGCAATCTCTAGCGTACATCTGGATCATCACAGACAGTCTAACATGTCAGCATTACATGACTACCATAAATATGAATCTTATAGCCCCAAGTCAAAGTCAGATACAAGCCAAAACTAGATAGTCATGTGGCAAGGATTGGAAGAAAATTATACTGAATACAGAAACCATGATTTGGTCTTCTGGGCGAGCACTGGCAAGTCTCTATTCAGTATTAGAAGGGCATGAATTACTTTAAGCTTAAAATATACTATGTCTCAACATAAACAGAGTGCAGACAATAAGCTTTGAATAACTTTCAGTGACACTTGGAATGGTAAAACTCTTCACTTCCTTCAACTTTTTTGCAACTGGCAAGTGGCCAGAATTAATGTTTTAAACACAAAATGTACCAGATGTAATTATCTATTAATTCTGAATCCAGTACTTTGCCTTGCCAAAAATAAAAGCATTTAAATGTTTTTGTAGTAATCTGCCTTCTCACGTCCAAAGTGAGTTGCTTTTAGGTAAACCTCTGAAGTCTGAATCAAAGGAGTTATCTATTCTTTACCTCGTGGCCAATTCCCTTAAGAATTAATGTTTGTGAAAACTAGTATGCCCCCACCCCAATTATTTACTCTTGGGCAAGCACATGCGAGAAGGGATGTGGATGTCAACAAGTTATGTCAAGAATCCAAAATGTTATCCAGAACTTGCAAAGTAAAGTTACCCGAGCAATGCTTGCATCCTAAAGGACACCACTAATTGTTTTTTAAGCTTTGCTGCCTTTAAGAAGGGAATTATATTGTCCTGATTACTTGTCTGTGTGAGGCTTGTTTTATTAAGGAAAAAAAAAGGTGTGTATTAGTGTATGCAAATAAGTCACTCACCACCACTTCCCTGATGATATATTCATTATAGCACATCTATTCCCCAATTTCGACACTCTTTTCCTCCCATGTCCATTCCAAAAAAAGAAAAAGAAACCCTGCTAACAGAACTTGAACTTGTGCAATGCTCAACTACCTGACTTCTTACCATCACAGCTACCATTTCAACCAGTTCAATTCTTACCAAATTATAATGCAACAAGCTAAAAAGCAATTAACATTTTGTTCAGATAAAATAACCCTGCCAGTCTTAGCAGTTCATTAAAAAATTTTTAAAAGATTTAGAAGGAGACTAACACAGCAAGCTGTACAGTCAAGTGTCAACTAAAAGACTGACTCCTAACGAGGTCTGCGTTTCCAAGCCAACAGAAAAGAAATTTAGGAATTTACCTTTTCAAAACCTATTCAACATCTACAAAGGATATGCAAAAAACGTTTTGTTACAGCTCTCCCTTCCACAGCTTTTCTACGTAAGATGGTAGTGGTAGCCGCTTACTCAGGAAAGATAAATTACACACATTTTAAATATTTCATGCCTCTGAAATGCAAATCAAGGCCAGGTGTGCTGTTTCCAAGAGCTAAATTACTGTATCAATCAGTAATAAGTCACAGGAATGGGCAGACATTTAGTTGATGTTTTATTGAAAGGTGTTTAGCAAGAGGCATATGTAGCAATTCAGAGCAGATTTACACTGCCCTTTCACAGGCTCCTCCAAGACGGGGAAGCTTCACAGACCTGAGGTGTTAACAAAACAAGAAGCTCCATCTATGGTCCCTAACAGGTAACTCCAGGGTATTATTCAAGTGACAAGAATACTGATGATGCAAATAAGGAAACTATTTATTTATTAAAATGTTCTTTAAGAGGAATGACATGACATCTTCCTGATCCTCACAGAAGAACCTAACTATACAATCCTGACTAGTTAGCAGTACTGACAATGTCACAGGTTAGGGTATCTAACTGCCTACCCTATTCCTCTGGCACAGGTTAAAATTGTCAGAAATTGTTAAAATTATTTACATCACAAAGAACTTTGTCTACTACATACACAATTCAAAAATGCCAAAGTATTTATTTTGAAGTTTTGTAGATAGATAATTTAACACTTAACTCTGGCCCCTTTTCCTTAGTATTCACACAAAGTGAGAGTCATTTTAAAAACATCACAACATTTGCAATGATCCCCTTTGCACAACTCATCTCTGGAAAGTGCCCACATTAACATTAGGCATATCCACTAGGCCTTCCTTTTAATTGACCCTAACCCTATGCAAATAAAATATACAAAAGTACTAAAAATTCACACATGCAATTTTTTTTTGGGGGGGGGGAGTGCAGCTCAACACTGGATCATCTGAAATTGCTCTGCATGCTGGTAATACCAAAGTTGCCATCCAATTTCTTAACCCCAGAAGCTTTTCTTCTCTTGATCAGCTTTAAATGACATCCACGATTATTAGTGGTCCTTCAAGCTTTATGACCAAGTCCCTTTAAGCTTTATGACCGAGAAGACATCTGTAGGAAACGGCAGGTGACATTCAGGATGGGTGCATGCCTTGTGCAATAACGAAAAAACAATAAATACCAAAACACGGGCAAACGTGACATTAAGGACATGGTCACTCCATGAGTCTTAGACTGACATACTGGCATAATCCCCAGGGAAGATGTGTTCAAGAAAAAAAAAAAGAAGCCTGTTTTAGCTCTGTCTTTTCAAGCAGCCAGCAATTCTCAGAACATTTCAGCTACGTTGAGGTTGGGGGGTGGGAGGGGGAGAAATACACACACACAAACCTGTTTAAGCCAAGGTGGTATTGCAAAGCGTCCCTCCTCAAAAGATCCGTCAGCAAAAAACAGCGCACGCCACAGTGACTACCCAAGCCTCTATTCAGCCCTCAACTGTCTCCAAACCAAAGAGACACTAGAAAGCAGTATCCCACTGCTACTGCTGCCTCGCAACCCTTTTGCCGCTGCCACAAGACCCAGCAAGACTAGGTCAAAAGCCTGGACAGCTGTGGCTGCGCACAGCACCCCCAGGGGGACCTGGCTGGCTTCTCACACCTCCCTCAGCTTGAGGAGGAGAGGCCAGGGACCCTCGAGCCATGGCTGGGCTGCGAGCAGCCGTTGCATAAGGAGCCCAGGGAGGCTCCAGCAGCGGGGGAGGGAGAGGGCTGCGCGGAGCCCGAGCGGCCCTTCCCTGAGCGCCGGCGCGGACATGCTGCAGCCGGGCGGGGCCGATGGGAAGCAGGGAGAGAGGCCGCTGCCCTGCCCCGCCGGCGCTGGGATGCGAGGGAGCGGGGGAGCAGCTGCTGCAGGCGCCACGGGGCATCGGGGTCACCCCCTCCCCCGCCGCGTTACATAAAGCGGTTACACCCGCGCGCGCACACACACACCCGCGCACAGGTGGGCGCCAGCGAGCGGAGCATCCCATCCCCGCCCCGCCCCGCACTCACTTGCCGATCACCTCGCACAGCTCGTACACGTCCTCGAACAGCACGTCGTCGTCGGCCATGGTCCCGCCGCGCCCCGCGGGGGGAGAGGGAGGCGCCCCCGCGGCCCCGCCGGGC